GGGTTTTTTTGTTTTGTTTTTTGAGTTCATAAAAGTGGCTGGTGCTCACATTCAATTTTTTATCAAATTAAAGAAAATGAAATTTGTTGTTTTGATCTTATGCTCTAGAAGGAGTATTGGACAAGATTCCTTGCATCCTGTTATTTATTTAATCAGAGAATTTAACCTTTTCTGTGGTTAAATCAGAATGTGGCTCTGCTGGTTGTGGTTTATGTGTGAGAGAAAAAAGGGATAAGGTGTGCTCACCTTTTTTGTTCTGCCAATTTGTCTCATCATTGTGTTCTGTCAAGGAGGTAACATTTGAACAATTACACAAATCTTATTTCCTATATTTTTACCTATGTTCAATGGAAGATTTTTTTTGTCTGAGACAATTTAATTCCATTAATTAAAGGCTAAATAAAATAATAAAGTACGATTGGAATATTTTTGGATGCTCAACTCTGCGGTAGATGTAATATATTTATTTTTTCGTTGACTAAATACAATTAGATAAAGTAATAAGCAACGGCATTTCTTCTAGTTTGGTAATATTAATGTGATTGTGTGTCTGAAAACATTAAAATGTTATGTTGCTGAATTAAGCATTTTGAAATTGAAGCATCCGTTCAAATAAATGAAACAGTCACAATGAAAGAAGGAAAAAAACTTGGATCAGGGTGAAACAGGGATCTCTCACAGTGGTAATTTCACTGTAATTGTAAACCTCCACTGTCTCTCTGGTTTTGAGGGGAGGAGGCAGTACATGGGGTCAAAGGGGGGGGGGGACTGCTGAACACAAAAAGTCCTGAGTATTACTGTAATTCAATGTGTCTTGATATGTATCATTGGTATGTTTGAATCATCCTCAACCTAGTTTTCTCTAACAGGAGTAAATTATATTGTTCATAAAGGACTTTATTATTACACACAAATACAGTCTCACACACATACAAACACAAACAAATACATAATGAGCTACACAAATTCACACAATGGGAGATGTAATGTTGCAATTAACAGTGAGATAAAGTGCTGAGTCATTGTGTTTGTAATATTAAGTTTGATAATGTTTTTATTAAATAGCATTATGCTGTCGACATTAATGCTTTGGAGGTTTCACCCATTTCTAAAAGTGAGTCGTCGTCAAGTTTTCAGAGGCTAATTGACTCTATATAATGCCATGTGTGTGTGTGTGTGTGYGTGCGTGCGTGTGTGTGCGTGTGTGTGTGGCTATGGACTTGAGCTTGTTGGTTTTGAACATTTTAATATAGGAAAGGTAGACAGGGAAAACAGAGATTTTAATCAAAACTGGACAGACATATTCGTTTTTCCCAGGGGAGGTTCCAATGTCTTATATGTTCTGAGACCATGGTGATTGTTAAAAGTAGCACTGCAGAACAAAACTTGACCATTCCAGCTCCGCTTCGGAATCCTTACACGACAAGCCAGAGCAGGGGGGTGGGATATATGAGGAAAAGAAGCGAGGAGAATAGCAGGTACTGCTTTTAGGATGTGAGGAAAATGAGAAACCTAATTTACACTATTTATAAAACTTCCCTGTAAAATTAAGCACTTTTTTAAGATGCGCATTTAAAGAATACTTTCTATAATCTTTATGTATTTTATTTTTACTTAACGTTAGAAAATAATTTTTATTTACTTGTGTGGGAATAAAAAGATATTGTTAAAATAGTTCTGCTTTATGCTTCTGAATCGACAGTCAGTCATACTGACATGGATACATCTACTATTTACATATATATTGTACTGAATCATAACACTATAGACATTATGGTCTTCTGGACCTTTGCTTGCAGACATGCTCTCTATCTGGACATCTGAATTTTAAACTAATACCCCTGCATTAGGGTACATGAGTAAATTGCTGTGGTGAAAACACCTAGAAACAGTATAGTAATGCTGCAGTCAATACAAGTGGTTACTGAAATATCAGGATAGTGAATATGTCTCTATATATTTGCATCTTATCAAACACCTAAATTAAAAACATGTCCACATTATGTTAATAGAAAATACAATGTTGTTATAATCATGTTTCCTATGATCAGATGTATATAAATGCCATTTGTCAAAGACAGGATTGCAAATGGAGCTTACAGTGATGTTATTGTGCTTTAAACAGCAGACAATTGGTTAACTCCACTGAGGCACCTATTGTTGCTCAGTATCTTGATACTGCTCCTGGTTCACAGCAGACTGTGTGTGTGTGCGTTCGTGCGTGTGTGTATTGCTTGTATACGTGTGTCTAAGTGTGTACAGCAACGAAAAAGTATGTGATTCTATCACCAGCTTTGTTCAAGAGGAAGGGAGAGTACGAATATATATATCACTGGAGGAGAGTAAAATGGGGGAGCGGAAGAGGAGGAAATTTTTTTTATCTTAAAGAGAAGCAGGGAAAGTTGAGAATAAAGGCAAAACTGGGGAAGGGAGAATCCTCTGCATTGTTTGTTCTCCCAAGAGGAAATATTAGACCAGAGACGTCTGGCTAGCTCCCCAATGGACACATACACACACACACACATACTGGCAAACATAAACTCTTTTGTGGCATCCGGGTCCATGGGTGCCCAGCTGCTGCTTGCCTGGTTACTTGATATTGGCGACCTCAACTACAGAGACAGAAAACAGAAGATATATTTACTTCTTCTCTGGCCAACGCACTGTTGCAGGTGTGACTATATCTTTGAAAAAGTCCTCTGGTGTACATAAGGTGAGGCCTTTTAAATAAATACTAATTATAAAACCCTTCAAATCTCTGTAATAAGAGGAAAGCTGAAACAAAGATGTACTACATTAAAAATATATTGTGGAGATACAGCTTATGTGTGTATTTACTGTGTATAGCACTTGTCTAGTCTTGATGACCATGCAGAGTGCTTTACAGTTTTACATTCATCCACAAACACACACATTCATACAGTGCTTCTTTGTACAGCACTTTCTCTATCATTTGTCACTCACACACTTCTGGCACAGACATCAGGGGCAATTTGTGTCAGTGTCTATCCCAGGGACAGCACAGCACACGGACTGAGGGAAACTAGGATTTAATTCAATTCAGTTTTCTTTGTATAGCGCCAAATTAAAATATAGGTTATCTCCAGGCACTTTAGGTTGAAGGTCAAGACCTTAAAGATTATAGAGAAACCCAACAGTTCCCACAATGAGCAGCACTTTGGTGACTGTGGAGGAAAAAATCCCTCATTAACAGGAAGAAACCTCTAAAAGAACCAGACTCAATGTGGGCGGTCATCTGCCTCGACCGGTTGGGGTGAGCAAAGAAAAAAGGGGAGGAGAGGGGAGATGGGTGGAAAAGAGGGGAGAGAAGAGAGGGAGATAGTGTAGAGGGGGAGGAGGGGGAGAGAGAGGCGAGAGAGACCGGGAAACCCTCGAGCTGTCTACCTTCTGGTTGGTGGACGGCTCGCTCTACCTCCTGAGCCCCAGCAGCCCCCTTAAGTTATATTTGCTGACCTCTGCTGTCTAAACACTGTGAAGTTAAATTAGGTCTCTGCAAGTGTGTGTTGTGCGTTAATGGCATACGAAGACAGCAATGCACAAGAGATAAAGTGTGGGAGGGAGAAAGACATGATGTGATGGAAATGTAAAAAAGACCAACAAAGGAGAGTGAATCACAGAGATGGAGACAGATAGAAAGATAGAGAAGAGGTGTGTATTTTGTCCTGCTAACCGGATTACTTCACTATATGTCAACAGAACACTTAATCCATTTGGCTGCACTAAGCTACACACACACAAACACTCTCACACACACACACACACACACACACACAGCTATATTTGTTAGGACATTATAGTTAGGACATTTTGCTTCATTGGTCTCGGTGTGTAACAAAGTCCAAGTTCAATCTTAAAGCCCTCACAGGTTACCTTTTCAGTTTTGTTGATTTTGGCGCCCCTGTGGACAAAAGCGGTAGTGTTTCCAAACCTCGGTCTGGCCGGCAAGTGCATTTGTTTTGAAAGGTGTGAAAAAGCGACACAGCTTTTGGAAGGAAGCATAGTGGTGAAGGTCATACTTACATCTTTTTGTTGCTGTATGATTGATAACTTATAACAACGTTATACATTTGT